TTCATTAATTTTTTTTTCTGGAAGATTAGTTAATTATTTTTTTAGGACACACACACACTCTCTCTCTCTCTCTCTCTCTCTCTCTCTCTCTCTCTCTCTCTCTCTCTCTCTCTCTCTCTCTCTCTCTCATATTTTTTGTTAATTTTTTTTTTCTTAAATTCCTCTCTAGTTTAGTTTTTCTCAAGGAGTTTAATGGACTCCCAGGAACAGTTTAGTGTTTGTGAGAGAGAAGTCACGTCGTGTTGCATTAGCTAGATTGGAGAGTCGTGGTGCTTGTTCCATATTGCAAGAACTGTGTTGGGGGGGGTGGGTGGTTGGTGGTGAAGGGGGGATGACTGGACGAGGTCAGGCCATTTGGCAGACGTGCGCAGTGCCTTATAATTGACCTTTATGTGTGGAGGTGCAGCCAATTATGAGGATTTAGTATCGTAAAATTGTTGGCGGTGCCATTAAGGTGTGGAGTAATGAGTGTTGGAGAGGAGTGTTGGAGGACAGGACGTGGTGGTATCAGGTGGGTAGGTAGGGGTAGGAGGAGGTGGTGGTTGGATGGTGTTGAGGAAGGAAGAGGAGAACGAGGGATCAGGTGGGTAGGGGGAGGTGGAGGAGGTGTGTCAGGTAGGAGGAGGTCAGGTAGAAAGAAGGAGGAGGAGGAGAGGTCAGGTAAGGAGGAGGGGGGTCAGGTGGGGGGGGAGGAGGGGGGTCAGGTGGGGGAGGGAGGAAGAGGGTCAGGCTGGTGCAAGAGGAAGGGGGTCAGGAGAGGGAGGAGGAGGAGGGGGATTCAGATATGAGGAAGTGTGGGCAGTGGACAAGGTGACGCGGGTATGGGAATCCAGGGAAAAAGTCACAGAATCTCACCTAACTTGTACTTGTACCTGAGGACGCAATTTAATGTACTCATACTTGGACTCAGGGATACAAATTATTCACTACTTGTACTTGGACTCAATGTACTTGAAAATACAAGAAGTCCACTCAAGTACTTGTTTTTATGTTAGTATCCGGATTATACTTTGTTTTTTGTTTATATATTATCCGGGTCATGTTACTTCATTTTATTTCCTGGATAGTTATTGACATTAGTTCCACGTCTGTTGGTTCGTTAGTATTCCTGGCGGTGTCTGTCTGTCTGTCTGTCTGTGTCTTTAAGTTCACATATGTATGCTTATGTATAGTTCTGCATAAATTTTTGGGAGGCAGGAGTAAAGTGAAAAATAAATGCATAGTCGGGTCTGGAGGAGGAGGAGGGGGGGGGGCTGAGGAGGAGACGAGGCGTGTTAACAGTGAAACAGATGTAAGTTGGCTGGCCAGTTTTCTAAGTCATTATGTAAGATTTAGCGGCGGGTAAATCATGTAAAACAACTTCTCTCACCAGCATTAATGTTATTTATCACCGCCAGCAAGAAGGAAGGAAAGAACCAGCCGAAAAGATGTGTGGAGCAGTGTGGGAGACTTTTTAGGGAGTGGGGAATGGGCGGGAGGGAGGGAGGGAGGAAGACTTTAGGGAGTGGGGTTGGAAGAGTGGTGAAGATATTTTAGGGAGTAGGAGGGTGGAAGGGGCTGTTCAGTACTACACTACCTAAATTTTTTTGGGGGGGAAAGAGATTTAAGGTATTTTTCTTTCATTGATAGTATACATACGTGCATACATCCATACACACGTAATATACAGTACTATACAGTCATACATAAAATAAATACAAATACATGCTTACATAAAGTCAAACTAATGGTGTTGGTAAGATTGATGGTGAATTGAATTTGGGTTTTGCCATTTTATTGTGCACCCCCAAGTGACCCCCCCATACACAATGAACAAGTTGGTAATCGCAAACGCCGCCTGACCACACAGATAGATAGATATTTTATTGACTACAGTACATAAACCTACAGACTAAAAATAACATCGCATAGGTCATCTACACTGAAGGATCTCTTAATACTGGGGGTGGATGACAGTGGGTGACGGTGGATGCTTTGTGGTAGTGGGTGACGGTGTGTGGTAGTAGTGGGTGGGTGGTGGTGATAGTGGTTTTGGGTGGCAGGGCACGTCTCGGCCGCCCATCACCACACACCCTCACATAAACATTGGTCATATCCTCATATTTCCTGCCTCTTGGGTCCTGATTTTCCCACTGCTGTCTGCTGCTGCTGCTGCTGTGATCACTGTTATCTTATTGGGGTGATGTTTCCTCCTGCTGTCTGTTGCTGCTGTGATCACTGCTGTTTTATTGGGTTGATGTTTCCTCCTCCTGCTGTCTGCTGCTGCTGTGATCACTGCTGTCTTTTTGGGCTGATGTTTCCTCCTGCTGTCTGTTACTGGTGCCGTGTCCAGTGGTGATATTGCTGTTCTCGACTGCTGTTAGTATTCTGTCTGTTATTGCTGTTCCTACTAACGTGTCTCACTGCTGGGCCTGCTGTGAGCGGTGGCGGCGTTGAGAAGGGTCCTGGTCGGGAACATTGATACGGCAGCGCTGAGGGAGCCATTGATACGTGACGTGCCTGACGAACATCTGCCCAAGCTGGCGGAGGTAAGGAGAGGCCTGTGGGGGTGGCCTGTGGGGAGGGGTGGCTTGTGGGTGAGGGGTGGCTTGTGGGGTGAGGGGTGACTGTAGGGTGAGGGGAGGCCTGTGAGGGGTGACTGTAGGGTGAGGGGAGACCTGTGGGGTGAGGTCCTCCATGTTATCACGCTGAAGAATTGTGTGAAGATGTATAATGGATAGGAGAGATAAGTGAGTGAGAGAGGAGGTGTAGGAGTAAGGTAAAGGGGTGTAGGAGGGAGGGAAAGGGGTGTAGGAGGGAGGGAAAGGGGTGTGGGAGGGAGGGAAAGGGCTGTAGGAGGGAGGGAAAGGGCTGTAGGAGTGAGAAAGAAGGTGTAAGGGTATGGGAGGGAAGGAGGGCTCCAGGTGAGGAAAGGGTGTTAAAGGGAGGGGGAGGTGTAGGTGAGGAGGAAGGGTGTGGTGATTTAGTTGAACCTTCCTCCTTCCCTCAAACCCTATACATAATCCCATACACTATCTTAAAATACTTCAAAACTTTCCCTCCTCCACCTCCAAACTTATGGTCTCTGCCCTTCCCTTTCCCATCTCAGCATTTCAGATCCCACTTTCCCTCCCTACCTCAGTCAACCCCCTCTCCCTCCGCCACCTCCCCCCGAAAATGGCCTCTTAAAATTCCCCTGGCCATTACCGTACGTTTTCCAGTCCCTACCTCCCCTCTCCTCCCCCTCCCCTTGCTGGTTGACTGCCAACACCCTCACAATTGGCAAATGGTATGTGTAAGGGGTGGGGGTGAGTAAGGGAAGGTTAGTGTATAGTGGTGGGGAGGTTAGTATATAATGGGGAGATTAGTATACATTGGGGAGATCAATATGCACTGGTGACAATTTTAGAGTGAGGCTGGTGCTATATATATATATATATATATATATATATATATATATATATATATATATATATATATATATATATATATATATATATGTGTGTTCTCCCATCCTTTGGCTCTCCCATCCTCCCTTGGTCCTCATCACTTTACCCCCCCACTAGACACAGCCGCAGCAGATACAGCACCAGTCAGCGGGGAGACACACCACTATTCGCCCAGGCTCGGTAATAATCATAAGTTTTAATTTTTTTTCCAGGACGGGGGAGTGAACATCGATTTTTTTTTTTTCCTGTTTATAAACGTTTCATGGGGGGGGGGGCGTCAAGGTTGTCCCCCTTTGCTGTTTATACGAGAAATATATAAATGTGTTGGCTATACTGCTTGGCCGCCCTGTGTGTAGGTATAGTCGAGTCTTAGTACACACATCGACACCATATTCCTTCAGTTACCGAAGGTCATAGGGCCAGTTGAGACTCGTTCATATACCGCCATGTTAGTGATAAAAAATAATAAACAACTTACGAATCATCAAGAATGGAAAGAGGCTGTCCCGCACGCCCCTTCCTCCTCCCCCTCACCCCCCCCCTTTTCCTCCTGGTGAGGGTCCTGTAATGAGGCAAATCCCACTAGTGGAAGCAGTTAGTAGAAGGGTAGTGGCGCTGAACTTGATAAGGTTGTTTGGCTAAATGACAGTAATACGTTCGTCTGTCTGTCTGTCTGTCTGTCTAGCCCATTTTCTCTCTCCCCACCCTTCGGAAACCACTGATGGTAGTAGGTTGGCAGGCTAGGATAGGGAACCTCCTCCCTCTCCGCCTATTGCCTATTCCTTGTGGGGGATAGGAAGGGGGAGGGGCGTTGTGAAGGTGTCTGTATGGGAAGGGAGAGTTACATTTTAGAATGTTGTAATGGGAGAGGATGTAGGTGGAGAGGGAAGGAGGGAGAGAGAGAGGAGGGCGTGAAGAAGAATGCGTGAGGGACTGAGGTGAAGGTGAGAATGTTGGTGTGTTATGGTGGTTAGGGGTGGTTGTGGTTGGGATTGTGGTGGTTATGGTGGTGGACAAGACCTGATTGTTGTAGCTGATAGATACTTGTTGATTGATTGTGGTAATGAATTGTGGTAGTTACAGGATGTGGTAGGAATGAACTAAGAGGGTGGTAGATAATTAAGCGGTGGTTGTGATGGACAGTGTTGGAGATGAAACACTGAAACACTATAAACTATACTTTTAGCTGTAGTGACCGTGGCTTGTGTATTGTGGTAATAATGATGAGCTGTGATGATGATAATGGTGGCGTGTATGATGGCGTGTGTGGTAGGCGTGGCATTGTGTGTGTGTTATGAGAGAGGGGTGGTTGGGGGAGGGGATGGACCTGACGAGCTTATGTTACCAATCAATTTACACGAAAAGAACCTCTTGTTTACACCCTCTTAGCCTTAACAAATTTACATATTGACTCATGATGTCTGCTCTCTACTTTTGGGGGGCTCTTGTATAATGTTCCAGAGAGAGAGAGAGAGAGTTAAGCTGGCATACAGGAAGAATCCCCCGGAATCTCTCTCTCTCTCTCTCACAGCTAATTTACAGGTAAAACTCATTTGTATTTTCATCTTGCAGGTACGGGGCGGTATGGTGCTGGGGCGTGGTGACAGTGTTGCAGGTGTGTGAAGGTGTAAGTATTGACGATGTTGTGTGTGTGTGTGTGTGAAGATGTAAGTATCGACAGTGTTGCAGGTGTATGGAGGTGTAAGTAAGTATTGACAGTGTTGCAGGTGTGTGTGTGTGTGAAGGTGAGTAAGTATTGACAGTGTTGCAGGTGTGTGTGGAGGTGTGAGTATGTATTGACAGTGTTGTAGGTGTGTGTGGTGTGAATAAGTGTGTTGACTGTTTCAGGTGTGTGGAGGTGTAAGTATTTATGTGTTGCAGGTGTGTGACGTGAGGGTACACTGTGTTACAGGTGTGAAGGTGGAGTACATTGACAGTGTTGCAGGTGTGTGGAGGTGTGGGTATTGACAGTGTTACAGGTGTGTGTGGAGGTGTGATTATGTATTGACTGTTGCAGGTGTGTGGAGGTAAGCATTGGCAGTGTTGCAGGTGTGGAGGTGTGAGTATGTATTGACAGTGTTGCAGGTGTGTGGAGGTGTAAGTATTGGCAGTGTTGCAGGTGTGTGTAGATGTGTGTGGTGTAAGTATTGACAATGTTGCAGGTGTGTGAAGGTTTAAGTATTGCGTGTTGCAGGTGTGTGGTGTAAGTATTGACAGTGTTGCAGGTGTGGGTTAGTGTTTTTACAGGTTCCTCCGGTGATTGTATGTACGTGTATGGAATCCCTAATACATTTTTTCCTTTTTCTAACACACACACACACACACACACACACACACACACACTAGGACAGGTTGAGCATCAGTAGCCTAAGTGGGGATGGCTGGGAGGGGTGGAGGAGGTGGGTAGAGGAGGGGAGTGGGTGGAAGAAGATGGTGGAGGTGGAGGTAGGGAGAGGTAGTGGGATGGGATAGGTGTAGGTAGTGGGTGGGAGAGGAGGGTGGAGGAGCGTGTGACATGAGTATTGATCTGTGAAGCTCAGCCTCACCTCTAGGCCAGCCCACGGGCCCTCCCTCCCTCCCTCCCTCCCTCTCTTTACCTGCTACTCTGCTTTCCCTCCCTCACACCTCTCCCCCCCACCCTGCCCTCCAGTCTCCCTCCGTTCTCAGGTGACGATGACCTGTACTCCGCCTCTCTCCACCCCACTGACGGACAGTAAAACAAACACACACACACACACACACACACACACCACTACTACTACTACAAAAGAACACAGTTGGGTTTCTTTGTGGACGTTCGTTCGTTTGTTTGTTTGAAGTCGCCTCAAGGCTTCCCTGTGTTGCTTATTGTCCCCGAGCAGTTGTTAGTGTGTTGTAAAGTTGATTTTTTATTTGTTAAACTTAAATTTTATTGTAAATTTAAATTTTTGTTTATAAATGTTTTTTTTTGTAAAGTTACGTGAATATTTTTTTTGCTATTTTGGGTAAAGTAAAATTTTTTGTCAAGTTTAATTTAATTTTTTTTTTGTTAAGGATTTATTGTTATTGTTGTTGTTTCTGTTCCGGGTGTTTGTATTTATTTGTTTCTTTGCTTGAAATATTTTTATCTCGTGTTTTTTTTTTAATTTTTAGGATGTAAATTTTTTGTTAGATTTAATTTTTTTAATAGATATTTTATTATTTTTTGCTTTTGTTTGTAATAATTGCGAGCTGGTTTTGTTTGTTATAATTATTTACTTTTATTTAGAATAATTGAGTTTGTTTCTTTGTAGTTTTTGTTTTATTTGCTTTTATTTTATTATATAACCTGATAATTTTTGTTTGCTTTTGTTTGTACAGTAGTACAATTATTTATTCGTTCTGTGAAAGACAATTTTTTGTAGATTTTGTTTGTATGGACTTGTTTGGTTTGTGTGAAGTGTCTTGTTTGCTTGTTTTTTTAAGTTTTCTTATTTTGGAATGACTTGTTTAGTTTCATTTCTTGCTTGTAATTGTTTAGTTTGTTTGAAAGGATTTTGTTAATTGTTTATGGTGATTTTGTGTTTTGTTTCCGATTGCGAGTTTGTTTACTTGTTTGGAAGGGGTTTATTTTGTTTGGATTGTTTGATTTTGTTTGTTTTTATTGAATTTGTTTATAATTTGGATTGTTTGAATTTACATATTGTTTGGATTTCTCTCATTAGTGTCTTTGTTTTGGGTTAAACCTGATCTTGGTTTCTTTGGGTTGTTGTGTTTCTTTGTCTTTGGTTGTTGTTTCTTTGTCTTTGTTGTTGTTGTTTCTTTGTCTTTGGTTGTTGTTGTTTCTTTGTCTTTGGTTGTTTCTTTGTCTTTGTTGTTGTTGTTTCTTTGTCTTTGGTTGTTGTTTCTTTGTCTTTGTTGTTGTTTCTTTGTCTATGGTTGTTGTTTCTTTGTCTTTGTTGTTGTTGTTTATTTGTCTTTGGTTGTTGTTGTTTATTTGTCTTTGGTTGTTGTTGTTTCTTTGTCTTTGGTTGTTGTTGTTTCTTTGTCTTTGGTTGTTGTTGTTTCTTTGTCTTTGGTTGTTGTTGTTTCTTTGTCTTTGGTTGTTGTTGTTTCTTTGTCTTTGTTGTTGTTTCTTTGTTTCTTTGTCTTTGGTTGTTGTTGTTTCTTTGTCTTTGGTTGTTGTTTCTTTGTCTTTGGTTGTTGTTTTTCTTTGTCTTTGGTTGTTGTTTCTTTGTCTTTGGTTGTTGTTTCTTTGTCGTTAGTTGTTGTTGTTTATTTGTCTTTGTTGTTGTTGTTTCTTTGTCTTTGGTTGTTGTTTCTTTATCTTTGTTTTTGTTGTTGTGTCTTTGGTTGATGTTTCTTTGTCTTTGGTTGTTGTTTCTTTGTCTTTGGTTGTTGTTTCTTTGTCTTTGGTTGTTGTTGTTTCTTTGTCTTTGTTTTTGTTGTTGTGTCTTTTGTTGTTGTTTCTTTGTCTTTATTTTCACTAGGCGTCAACCAGCTGGCTCGATTATGGGTGTGTCTTGTCCGGTTCTCTCCCCCTCCTCCCCTCTCTCCCCTACCCACTTTCTCTCCCCCTACACCCCCACCCACTCCTCCCCTCTCTCCCACTTCCCTCCCTTATCTACTTCTTCCTTTATTCTTTCATTTATTTTCCTCCACTATATTTTTTCTTCGTAATTTCCCTCATTTTCTTTTTTGTTTTGATCATTCTTCCTTGTTTATTTTCGTCTTTCCCTTTCCTCCTTTTATGCTTTTTCTAATCTCTTTTTTTCCAGTTTCTGTTGTTTATCCCTTTATTTATTCCCGTTTCTTCCTCCATTTTTTTGTGGATATAACATATTTCTTGGTTCGCCTTTGTGTGTGTTTACGGTTTGTGTATTTATATGCCTGTGTGGTTGTGTATGTATGTATGTATGTATGTATGTATGTATGTATGTATGAATGTGTGTATGTGCTTGGTCAAAATACCACTATATAAGGGGTGACGTTTTGGGCGAAACTTGGCTGGCGGACACAGGTTAAGTGGCTGCCAAGGTTTAATTTTAGTCAAGGGGTGAAGGTCAAGGCGTGTGTTGTGTTGTTTTATGTAGTGTTGTCAGAGCATCTTTTGTGTTGTGTGGACTGTCAGTGGTGTCAGAGCCCATTTTTGCTGTTATTGTGTTGTTTCTGTTATTTCTCCTCTCCCTCCCTCCCTCTCTGCCTTCCTCTTACTCTCTCTCTCTCGCTGCTGGTGATGGTGTGTTCCTTTGTGTAATTATCAGGCCATGTGATCAGGCCAGCCACCCGCCTCCTTGAGTACGTTGGGTGTGTGTGTGTGTGGCGGAGGTGTGTGTGTGTGTGTGTCTTTGCGCTTCTTAGTACAATACAGATAAGATATGGGCCGAATACCTTTTACTTTAACACAAATATTACCCGTGATTAATCTCTCTTTCTCATAGGTCAAAAAACAACAAATCACAGGTGTAGGTAAACATATTATGACGCTGCCGTACCTGGTGGGAATTTCTACACCTGTACTGTTGTTTGTGTCTGAATAAATGTTTGGAATTTGAATTAATTACGGCAAGAGTTAATTGCCTATTTTGATGGGGGGGGGGGGTTAACCTCAAATATTTTTTATCTTGTGTAATTAGTCTGTTTGTTTATTGTTGTTTTGTTGGTTATCTGTTTTGTTTATTGTTGTTTGTTTTGTTTATTGTTTTGTCTGTCATTTGTTTTGTTTATTGTTGTTTAATCTGTTGTTTGTTTTTGTCTATTGTTTAGTCTGTTTTTGTCTATTGTTGTTTATGCTTGCGGTCTCTTGGTTTGGTTTAGGTTCCCAAACTTTTTAACATGACGCCCCCTTATGCTTTTTTGCCAAGTCCTCAACCCCTCCCCCCTTTATGTAAAATCTACATACCGTAACTGAAGAAGAGCGGTGGCTGGTAGTGTTGTGAAAGATACGAGTAGTGTGAGAGTCAATATGGTATCCGTGACGTGTACAAGTTGTGTAAGGAGAAAGAGTTGAAATGATAGAAAACTGATAGGGGGTGACTGCTATACTTTGGTTTTGTACGGATGTGTGGAAGATTCAAACGGAGAGAGAGAGTTATACCTGAAAGAGTTTCACCATTATATTCTTTTTGAGCAAAAAATAGAAACATTTTTGGCTTCACGCCTCCCCTGTACCCCCCCTCCTTTACAGTTTGGGAATCACTGGTTTAGGTCATGGGCACACGACTGTTTTAAGGTCACACGAGCCAAGGTATTAGGTTTGTGTGTGTGTGTAAATGCTTGAGTGTGTTTAAGTGTTTATGTGCGTGAGTGTTAGCGTGTCTTTGCTAGTGTGTGTGTGTGTGTGTATAAATGTTGAAGTATTAAAGAGAGAGAGATTGACATTGACTTATTGACAGCATTAGTTAACCTAGCCCAGTGCCCCCTCACCCTCCTCCCTCTTTCCCCCCTCCTCCCTCTTTCTCCTTCCCCTCTTTCTCCCCTCTTTCCCCCCGCCCTTCGTGACTGACTGACTGGCTGACTGACTTGACTGGTCACGTTTTAGACCAACTTGAGCGTGATGGAGTAGATACTGTTTGGTTTTTTTTTACTAAATATCTTGATATATTTTCGCTGCCAGACGTGTAATGAGCTCCACTAACATAGCCACAACCTGCTGAGTCATCTTTTTTG